TACATAAAATTTATGGTTGGAGTAAACTAAAATATAGATTTTTTTCTCCAATCAATTAAAAACTATAAGCTCAGAATCGCACGGGTGATGGGCAAATTAGTAAAGTCATGTATAATTTAATATTGAGGTCTGCTATTAATTTTGCAGATTGATAGTTGGAGGAAAACAAAGTGGAGGTAAAGGACCATCATTGAACTGAGAAAGAAATTTGGTGAAAACAACCAGAATATGGTAACATTTACCGTGTTGGCTCTTGGGAACACCAAGCTCGGTTGTTTTTAACAAAGCGTTTTGGTAATGGTTTTGGTAAAATTAATACTAAAAAATTGTTTTAGGAAAAGTGAAAAAATTGGGTGATTTAATTATGATACCTTAGAGCGGCAATGAAAGCTATATTTTTGAAAATCAGAATTTCTGGTAAAATAAATTATTAAAATACAGTAAAATTTGTTCTTATCAACAAGAATTATATTTTTTTCATCAGAAATATCATCATACGGTACTGTAATCTTGGCAGAGTTATTTCCTCAGTGAACAAATATATCCAAGATTATCTTAGCGTAAACTTGTTTAACACCGTGTTTCTCAGTAGTAATTCTTTAGAATTAGATAACGTTTATTTCTTCGTTTACATACATTTGCTTGTGACACCTAATTTGAATGCTTTTAGACAAATATTGTATAGGTATACACCGAAGAGCCATTGCATTATAACCACCCTCCATCTATAACAATGGGCTCGCCCAGGTTTTCATGGTTTCTCGCCCAGGAACAATGTTTTCATGGGACACGGTAGGACCCATAATTCTCATAGAACAATCCCTGACGTCTGTAAACTACTTGAACATAGTTGCAGATTAGGTTCATCCATTCATGGCAACAGCTTTTCCTGCGGGGGATGGTGTTTACCAACAGGATAATGCACCATGTCATAAGGGTCGAATTGTCATGGATTGGTTCGAGGAATATTCCAGTGACTTTCAAGTCATGTCTTGGCCCCCAAATTCTCCTGACTTTAATCTAATAGAGCATTTGTGATCCTACTTGGAAAACCAAATTTGTGTTGCCATGCTACCTACTCGCAGTGTGAGGGAATTGCAGGACCAGTTGGTGAGCGCTTGATACCAGATACCTCAGACTACCTATCAGCACCTTGTGGAATCAATGCCACGGCGGGTGCTAGCAGTTTTGAGGGCTAAAGGTGGTCCTACATGTTATTGGCAGGGTGGTCATAATGTAATGGCTCTTCGGTGTATATTGATGATAGCCATTACAGAGTAACAAGTACTAGTTTTCTTGAATTTTTATCTAAAATAAGTCCCCCGGGATCTTTTAAAACTTTCTAGAAATTGGAGGAAAAAAAATTCTAATTACTATAGATTAGGAAAAATTAGAAACTTTCTATAAATAAGGAATATGTTTTTAGGAAAAATTTTTAATTTAAACTTCGGAAATATTTTTTTAAAGTCTTTTTTTTGTTTTAAAAAGAGTTTAATTTTTTATAAGAAAAGTAAGTGAACAAAAACAGTTTTGGTTTAGTGATTTTCAAAAAGTTATTAAATTGCATATATATATATATATAGTGAAAGGAATTTAAATTTTCTAATTACTAATTTGGATTTATTCACAAAAAAAGCCCATTTGTAATTACAAGTTACGCTTTAAAGTATTTTTAATGTAATAACGAATTACTACGTAGTAATAAATACTAAAAACGTAAAGTATAGTGACTGCAAAAATACCCTTTTCTTCCTAATTAAACTTCTAAAAATTAAAATCAATGAGTTTTTAATATAGTGTCTTGGCCTTCAATTTCAAGGCAACTATCGACCCCCTAATTAATTTAGCAATAAGGCCGTTTGCAAGAAAGTACCACCAAAAAATATCCCAAAATCTTAGAAGCATTATATCACCGTGCTTTACCGAGTAATTTGACAAGCACTTCTTGAAAATTCTTTTTTGCAACAATACCTTCATACGTAACTCCTTTCCCTCGCGTTTTAAAGTTATTGAACTTGCTTTTAAATGGAAAAAAATCCAATACTGAAGAGAAAAATTGGTTCGGTTGTCTTATAAACAATACCCTATCTTTAATAAAACGTTAGTACATTGTTAGAAATTTTTCAGAAAAATGATTAAGCAGCAATTTAGTTAATTGTTATCTCGCCGTATTCAAACGAAACAGTCAAATGCCCATCTTAAATAAAATGTTCAGACAGTTAACAGTGAGAAGAACTGTTAATTAACTACGTTCGCCTAATACGGTTAAACAATGAGAATTTTATCGCATCAACTAAGCATACCTGTTGAGGCCACTTATTTCTTGCAGCTGTGTACATATTATAGCCGAGAGGATTAATCTGTCAGTCTCACGGCCGACACAGGACGGGGGTTTGTGCCCCAGTATTATCACCACAATATTTCCTCCATTTCTTTCCAGACATGAAAAGTTTCCAGTATCCTGCACTCCTCAATTTGTGTTCTATACTCTCCAACGCCCATTACTTAGCGAAAATCCTAGTGTCCCATTCTCCAATGTCCAGTAAGTCATTTTACGGTTTTGAAACCATGCTGGATATAAATGGTTTAAAACCGTATAGTTTCGCATTCATGGTTTTGTAACCAAACTGTTTGTAAACGGTGTCAAAACCGTAAGGGTACAAAATGTTCTTTACCGTAAAAATTATGGTTAATTGGAAGGAAAGACTGTTTCCTGATATTTTACCATAATTTTAGAATGGAAATTTAACAGTACATACGTTGGGCGTTTGGTGTTAAACCTTGTTATTACAAGTTATTTATATTTACTCACCCATTATATAGTAATTGTAAATATTTGAAACGTTAAGTATAGGGATTGCGATTATATATATAAACATGAAAATATATCACGTTAACAAAGTTCTTTTCTTAATTCTAGTTCTAAAACCTAAAAACTTTGAATTTTAGACAGTGTTTTTTTCACCTTCAAGACAAGTATCTGTTCCCTTTAGATTTTACAATAAAAAACACATTTTAAGAGTGTTTTCTTATTTTTATGGACTGATAATGAAGTTTTCCATCCTTTTCAATCGAAATAAATCACAAATAAAACAATAACAATGAGTTTTCGAAAATCCTTTTTGATGGTTCTGAACACGCAGACTGCAAGAAAAGAACCCAAAGTGAAATCCTTTTTGTATTACAAACGCGTTCGAAGCGTGATATCACCATGTATTACCAAGTAGTTTGACAAGCACTCTAATCCATCTCCTTGAAAATTCTTTTTTGCAGCACTACCTTCACACGTTTATCCTTTTACTCTTTTTTATATATATATCGAAACGGATCTGTTTTATTCTTTTATCTCTATTCTTTCGCCAAAATAGATTTTTCCTTTAAGAAACTAAAGTCTACGTTAACACTTAGTCTTTCAGTTTATCTCTACCCGGATCTTTGTATCTATTTTTCTAGAGTACTGTAAGATTTTAAGTCCTGCTTTGATGTATACTGAAACTTAAATAAATTATGTAAATTCTTTATCACTTCTATTTATCATGCTTGTTTTATACATTGATTGTTTCATTTTTATTGATTTATAGTTTTTAACTATAATTTTAATACGATATATTTTTAACAAATAAAATACATTTTAGTTAAACTTCCTTTAATTAAATTTAAATATTGATATTTCTGATAAAATCTATTTATTTCTTAATTGAAAACATCTTCAAGAGTCTAAAAAATGTAGAACATATTGCGCATAAATGATAAGAAGTCTATGTGTGCTAGTGACCAGTTTTTGAGTAGAAATCATTTCTAGAGTGTTGTTAAATAAATAGAAACTCAAAGATAATAATAATGTTACTTTAGCTCATTACAGTAAACTCCAGTAAGTTTTCGTTTTCTGCAGAAAAATGAAATCATCACCATGATAAGCGTTGTATAAGTGACCATTAATTTAATTATCTATTTATTTATATATTCATTATTTGCCATCTTTGTTCTTCTCTATAATTTTGCATCAGGCTTTGCTGATGCAAAATTATAGAGAAGAAAATTATAGAGAAATTTTGCATCAGACTATAGTTTTCCTACACATATTGTCTGGGAAATCATAATGAATGCCGCAAGTATTAAAATCGTAGTCCTAAATATTTAAATTTGAGCTAAGCAATATTAATATTAAAATATCTCTACTTTTTTGTATCATCTGTTAGTAAAATTTCAAGCTTGGTCTGAATTGCATTAAAAAAGTGCTGTTATATCCTTAATGGAATTACATGGGGTGAAACTCATAAATAATTCTTGAAAGGTACGGCATGAAACTGACTTGGAACTTTTAACATCTGACCATAACGTCTGTTTTCGGTTAATGTGACAAACTTATAACACTGTACAATGTAAAAAATTACGTTAGAAGAAAATATGTGTTCCTTATATATTTTTGGATAAAAAAAATCTTTAACTTTTTCGTTTACCGATCACAATTTTCCTCTAATTACTGCATTTTTGGCGACTTAGCACTTTTTTACAGTACACAATCTAGATGCTCAAGGTGAAATTTGCTGTCAATGGCAGTGAAACCTTCACCGAATCAAGGATGACGATTCTAGCGAAGTTGACAAGATTTTTTGGTGAAACCTTTACTTACCTTTTCAAAGTTTCGATGCTCTAGATGTGTAAGAAATTGAAATATCTGAAAATTCCTTAAAAACTCAACAACTTTCAGCCTACAGAAATGGATCGTGTTGACATTTTCGGTATTGATATATAACTTAAGAACAGTATCACATAGTTTCATCTAAATGACCAAAAACATATATTCTTATTTGTAGTGCATGGAACTAAGGATTTTTGCGTTCCATAATCTAATCTCTTAACAATTTCAATATGTACGAAAAATATAAAGTTGTTTTGAAACGGTGTTCACATGAAAAACATATAAACGGTGATTTATTGTGCCCAATTTTAACAAATATTGAAAAAAGTAAGAATAAAAATACAATAACATCTAATACCTTTTCTTTTTTCTCTCGTTCTTCGTTTGATTATCACTGCAATAACTATAAAGAGTATGGCAAAAGCAGAAACTATTCCAATTAGTATTCCAATTATAGGACTTAAAACTAAATCATCTTCTTGGGCTGTAAAGCAAAAATAAAATAAAAGAATATTATTTATGTTTCACTTCTAAAATTAAAATAACAAATTTGTCAGGGGAAAATATAATACCTAATGCGTTATTTATAAAACAAAAGTTAGTGCTTAATTTCTTTAATAATAAGCAAATATAAACTGCAACGATGATTTACAACAAATTTCTTTAATTTTTGGGGGAATATAGTTTTTTAAAAGGATAGTAACTAAACAAAGGATAAAGCTTGGCTTTTTAAAGGAGCAAATGCAAATTACAAAACATTATTTGTTACTTACTCCCAAAAATTACAAGGACATAAAAGTATGATATTTAAATGGAAGGTCATAATAAAAAAAAAGTTGGAAATTACTTGTATCGACATATAACTGAGGATATCAATATCTTTTAATTATTTGGTTACAAATAAGGTGTTAATAATATGGTTGGTAAACTAAGCATAAAACAAAAGAAAATGTTTCATTTTCATTTTATAATGCAAATAATCTTCTTCCTATCAGATAAAAAGATTTTACATTAATTCCATAATTATTTTAAACTATTATTAAAATTTTTTATTATTTATTTTTAACAGTGCTGCATTACTATTTAATAACCGAAAAAAAATTCATTTGTTACTTAAGTATCAATTATGCTGTTTATTTTATAATTAAAATAGTTTTGTTTTTAAGAACTTACGTAAAAAAAATATACTAGAGAAACATAAGTGTTAATAAAAAAAATAATAAATGTTAAGGAATTAAAAATACTTAATGTTGAACCAAATATGTTGTACCTATATGCTGTACGTGAACAAAAAAAAAAAAAAACCTGAACGATGAAATAAAAAAATTTAAAAAATATTCTCTAAAGAAAAAAATAGTCTTAACAATTAAAAATGATTACAAATGTTTTAATTTTACTTTTTCACACTTCATTGTTTGCAAGGTAACTTTTGATATTCATAAATTTAATCCAATATACTAAATAGCGTAATAATTAAAAACAATATAATAATTCAGTTAATAGAAATAAAATTCTACATCCCTAAATAATTTCCGGAGGACCAAAAATATAAAGAAGATGTTTGTTTATAGTTGGAAATATATTAATAGACATGCTATTTATAAAAGAGATTTAATAGCCACTATTAACATTCCAGTCAAACTATTAAAGCTAATTTCATAACAATAGGGTAAGAAAGCTAATAAAGATATTCACATTATATAACATAACAAAATGGCATGCACTCTATAATAGCAACTACAAAAGCAAGATGGCCACAATAAACTCAGAGGAAACAATTATTATGAGAAGCACATAGAAAAGATATTGTTTTACTAAGGCATGCAGACAAGCTAAAAGCATACATTATTTAGCTCAGTGATACGAATTATGCATACTTCAAGCCAGGCTAATGTATTGTATTAAATAAGACGCGTAGACCTAGAGTAAAATTATTAAGCTACAAAAGCATAAAATGCATAAATAACATTAAGATTGAAAGTGGCACTTATAAACATAATTTTCACAATAATATACAAATTAGTAAGCATTTGTGAAGTATCTTTATTGCAACACAAAGTTAAAACATTTAAGATTTCTTGTGTTATGCATGCAACACAAGGTAACACAGTATATATGATCACGACTGTAATGTACAAAAATCAACTTAAATTATCAATAAATCATGCATAAGTGAGAAGTTACAAGAAGCAAATTTTGGCATTGTAATTTTGAACAAAAATATTGATTTTTGTATCTTTGAAAAGGGAGTAAATATTAAAAAAATATAATGAATATTAAGTTAGAAATTTAAAAAGAACATAGTACAACATAGTAGCATGTACAGAATAATCTGCGTCCATATATATGTAGGAATACTAAATAGCATTGTCATTTGAAAAGAAAATAATGAATAATTCTAACTTTAAATAATAAAAAAAATATTTCTGCAGTATTTTAAATGGTATCATAAATATTTAAGAAGAATGAAATGAAATAATTTTGAAATTAGTTCGATAGAAAAAATCAATACACATGACAATTTATAAAAACATAAAAATATTTTTTATTGCTCAATTTTTGAATTATTTTAAAGCCTAAAGAAACCTTGAAGTAAGACCATGCTTAATAAATAATGTAAAATGAAAACTATGATGTAAAGCTCGGGGTGTTTGTGTGGTCGGAATGATAGCGCACTGTAGGAATCGGGAAGGATAGACTACAGTAATCTCGCTGCGATTCCTGGTATTTGTATAACAGCAGTACTGCAATGTGTACTTAAATGAAAATAAATATTGTCACCGGCGTTAAGAAAAAATCAGACTGATTTTGTTTTTCCCCAAAGCAATCTCCTGAATTTTTGTAGCTCTTTATCTTAATTTTCTATATAGTATCAGTAGCTTAAAATATTTTTAAAATAAACGAATATATGCTACCGGCAATGTTGTTTAGAAGCTGTCATGATTAATATATCCTACCGATCTCCAAACAAACAGTAGCAGTATCTTCTACCAAACAATAGAAATATATCCTTTAAAACAATATCAACATCTCCTATCAAACAATAGCAATATCTTCAAACTAACATTAGCAATATATCCTGCCAAAACGTAAAGGTTTGCACTTTTGCTATTGAAGGGAAAGAGAGTATTGCTCTTAAGCTACGATATATTGCACTATGTTCAGGACAGAAAAAAAAACTGACAAAATATGGCAACAATTTTAGGGCCCCCAATCCATTTCAGCAAAAGTTATTTTATCGGACTTTTTAATTTTTACGTAAGTGTTAATAAAGCGCGATTCAGCAAATTCGCAATTTGAATCGAAAATGCATTCACATTCACAAGCATTAAATATGTTGAAGATGTTCTTACAATTTCGTCATTAACTTACAACCAATAATTTTGACTTTCTCTTTTAAAAGGATTCCAAGACATATATCTTAAGAGTAGTGATTACTGAATACCCTATGTTATTTAATGTAACTGTAAAGATTTGTTATAATAGAAAAAAGAATAAACACTTAAACTATGAAGAAAAAAAATGGCTGTTGCAATTGTGGTAAAGAGAAGATACAAATTATAACTAGTAAAGGAGAAAGAAATTGACTACTTTCGGATAGACTTGATATACTGGGTGTTTCAATGGCTATTGACAAATAAAAGAAGCTATGTCCTTTATTCTATTTACCGAAAAAAATAACGTTCATACGTGATTAAATCAAAGATAATAAAAAAGTGATGTTTGGTTTCCAATGATAAATATGTATTTGCTAAAAGTTCCTTATTTGGAACATAATGGTTAAGAGAATGTCAAGTAACTTTCTTTTCTCCTTTATTTCCACATATATACAATACATTGTTTTCAATCAGAGCTTCTATCATTGTTTCAATAAACTCGTAAAACGAAATTGAGTGTCAATTAGAACAATGAAAGCAAGAGCAAGTGAAGCAAAAAGAAAGAAAGTGATAGAGCATGATTTATTTAATAATAGGTTAGGTAAGAATAAACCAAAGTACTGAAGAAACAATCCAAGAGCATCTTCAGTGTAGAGAATTTGCCTTAATCAAAAATTGAGATTGATCTCTCATGTTATTTATTTCATGGGAAGCAGCTTAATATGTTTTTTTATAGTCATAACAATCATTCTGGATAATTGCTAAAAACATATTTATTATATTTTGTTAAATTTTTCAAAAATTCTCAACTTAAGATGCTTCAACATAGCATTTGAAGACTTTATAATTGATTTTATCGAGCATTTCTGAATAAAGACGGTCATGTCTGCTGTTCAAGGATTGCTCTTACAAATTTTTCAATCTAGAATATCCAGTATTGTCGTATAAACATGTTTCAGGATAACTTTTTTCTAATTCGTCAATTGAGATTATGAAGCAGATTGAGCTTGCGATCCCAGGATTTTTTCCAGATATTTTAATTGAGATCATCTGGTACTAGCACAAATCTATAGTTGAAACTGCGAAACCTCAGCACTATTTTTGAAGATTTTTCAAATAATTCCAAACAAAATGTTGCAGTATCAATTTCCCTAATCTTTAATAAATTTGGAAATACGATCATACCATACCATAAATTTAATCTTCTTTGGCGAGCAGTTTTAATCTTCATAAACGTAAAAATAGAGCATTCCCGCAACAGCCTGCTGTTGCCCAAGGGGATCATAGAGGTTAAGGCTCCACAATTTCAAGATCTTTGGCATGATTGCGGCAAAGTCGATCAGCACTGAGCGAAGGCCCCTTTACTTTCCAGGCAAGCTGGTACCTTTCGATCTGAAGCTGGGTAAGCTTCAAGCCACCACTGAGGATCAAACACCAGTTCTTTTCAATAAGAGTTCAGTGGTTTAATCACTGATACCTCGTGGCTCCACCTGCATATTTTTTTAGAAAGTAATATTAAAACTTCCCTTATACATTTTTAAATGTGGAAATACGATTTTATCTTACCGTGAAGTGTATCTTTTGTAAAAAATTGAACATACAATGTAAATTTTTCGTCGAATATAATTATTATCACGAAACACTCCATATTATCTTTTCTTGCCTACGAGTAAGCGGAAGCAAGCCATACTTGGTTTTAAAAATAAAACTTCTCTCTTGCAAGTATGATACGAAATATATTTTTCCTATATCAGCCATGGGGAAAACGCTCCAAAAGTTTCCTTAATATGCGGAGCCAGAACCTTTCTGATGCAAGGCCAGTTCCTAGACCTCCACGCAGGCCGGCCGGTAAAGAATGAGAAACTAAAAGTTTGAGTTTGTCTACTGCTATGAAGACAAGATAAAAACTATTTCTATTTTTGAAGAATTGAAAAAAAAAATAGCTGGACTCTCTCAATCTAAATCAATTAAAATCGTTTAACACCACACCTCTCTTCAAAGTGAATTATCTTCATAACCGCAGTAATCACCAGCATATGAGTCTGGTGTGCGGGAGAATTCTCATTAGAGCCGGATAGTTCTGAGCAAAAATGTATTAAATACGAACTCTCGTAGCGTTAAAGCGTAGCGTAAGATACTTTATTCGTTCTCAACCAGATTAACTCTTCGTAAGTTTTGGTTTAATGAGTTTTTTTTTAATTTAAAATCTGTCACTATCCATTTGAAATACCCAGTACAGGTTGTTTGAAATAAATTTCAATTTTAGGTTTAATAAAATGCCCCTTGCCTGTATGTCTTTCAGCTGGTCTTAATGTACTAGCATATAAAGCCACTGAATTGCTCCTTCCTTTTGCATTGGCCGCATACAGAACAAGAATGAAAGAAGTTCCCGTTAATAAATCTTGCACCAAGAAACTAGGACTATCTTCTGAAGTCATGTTTCCCTGAAGATGCTCGTTTGTTGAGCTGTATACTTCAAGATGAAAAGTCTGCGGTAAACCACCATCGTAACCTGGTTCGCATTGTATCAGAAGTGAGTCTGTTGTGTGGTTTGTCACCAAGCAGTTACGCATAGTCTCTGGAGGACCTAGAATAATATTCCTCAGTTTGGTTTACGTCTTTCGAAAATCTTAATACACGGAACACATTTTTGAATTCTGTGGTTTTTATACATAAGCATCAATGTAAAAATTTGATCGACCTAAGATAACTTTTAATCTCATAAAATTGCATTTATGTAGTAATATTAATAGCTCCAAGAAAACCACCAAAAAGTAGACTTTTGAGATTTTTTTTGAGGAATTACTATCGATCCATAGCAAGATCAAAATATTTTAGTAAGGATATTATTGCATTGCTATAACATTTAATGGATATGGCGGTTTGATTTTATATTTCCACAAAGTACTGTCGAATACAGATGGTTTGAAGTAGACATTCAAAATAAAAACACCGGGACGGATTAAAATTTTATTAGGGAGGTATCAAGTAGGCTCACATGAAAACCCAACAAAATCATTTGATAAGAAATGGTGGGTTAGAAAAAATGGTTAAAAGAAGGAAGAAATTTAAATATTTTCAGGTATGAAGTATTGTTTCAGATGTAATTATACTTCCAGTGTTACTCATATATTTTAAAGTATTTTTCTTATCGCTTCGTGTTTCATTTCAATCGAGTCAACATAAACGCTACAACGGAGACATTTCCTTACATGCTGACATGAGACATAAAAACAATACTAACTGTATACATAGATACATAATTTTTACATAGCAAAAATACTAATTGTATATATTGAACTTAGATAGCAATGATAGATAAAGATGTACAAGTCAAAAGTAGTACATTCTATATGCGAAAATCCTTGTAACTTTTAAATAATAACTCATATTGGCTAATGTTTGATCTCATTTACTTTAGTCTTAGTTCATTCACTCATTTCATTTGTCATAATTGCATCCAGATAGCAATGACAGGTGCATAGAAAAGTACAAATATATTGTAGTTTTTATTATTACCGATGTATTGACTTTTTTGTATTATTGTACTTTTCATATTGTTACCTTTTTGCAGCGATGTAGTTTTTTACACTAATGTATATCTTTAAATATTGTATTTTACACTGAGTCATATTTTTTAATGTAGCATTTTCCCCTGATGTACTCATTTACGATGTAATATTTTACATAGAACTACCGCGACATGAGGATGCGACAATAGGACTAAACATTTAAAATATTATAAGTCTTTTACGTTTAAAAAAGTACAATTATGCATTTGCACTTTTTTACGCCCCTGACATTGTTATCTAGACACATAATTATAACAAATAAAATAAGTGAATGAATGAAGATTAAAGCTAATGAGATCAAATATGTATAAATATGTCAAACTATTCAGAAGTTGTAAGGGTTTATACGTATAGATTATACTGTTTTTGACTCGTAAGTATTCATCTGCCTCGGTTGCCTAATTGGACTAAAGATATACGTTTCACCTCTCTTTCATATCCTTTCTCCCACTGTCAAATGATATCATGGAATTTTCTTGTGGTGCTATTTTTGACCACTATAAACAAATTCCTATAGGCCCTAGTTTTGGAATTTTGAATGCATAATTTTGGCTTTTTATTTTACCTAATTGTACTACAATAATATAAGTAATCCTTATCTGTATACAAAGGCATAAACTTCATAACTCATACTTTAAAAAGATTTCACATATGCTATTTGATACATATGTTATATACAGGTTCTAAAACAGACTAACTGATACTTTTGACTCAAAATTAAATTTCTGAAAGTAGAAATATACAATTATACTGCTGGAAATGGAATAAATATTGAAAATATATATGCTACATTTTTATTTAATATGCAAATTTATGTTTCAAAATGTTGAATTTTCAGCAATATCCTGTAAGCAAAGAAGAAAATCGTGCTAAATCGAAATCATAATATATATTTATATATATATATATATATATANGTGGTCATAATGTAATGGCTCTTTGGTGTATATATATATATATATATATATATTTAATGATGTTTAATATCTTTGAGAAATCCTTACATTTTTTTCATTTAGATTTGAAAAATGGACTTACATTTCTAAATAATTTAATTATTTTAGAAAGTGTAATCTTAGAAAAAAATTATATTTAAAAGAAGCCTTCACGATTTATGAGCATTACGTTAACAGGAAACTTCAAAAGAATCATTAAGTGCTAATGCATTTCACGGCCTGGATTCTTTTATAAACTTTCATTTTCATTTATAAAACTGACTTCATCATTAATTTTAGAAAGAAAACTAATTATAAAATAAAATAAACGGCACCTTCTTGCTTCAATGCTTACAGTTTTTACAGTAAAATGAAAAATAACGAGACTAAAAAAGAAGGAAAAATCAATTGCTTTGTTTTTCTTTTTCTTTAATATTAAAAATTTCTTATATTAGGAAATTTCACTTAAACAACAAATTTGTTTTAATCTTTTGTAACAGATTTATTATTATGAATGTGTTGCTTCCGTGTTTCGATATCATTAATTTTTTTCCTTCTAGATTTTCATTCGGGAAAATATTTTTAATTAGAAATTCTTTTAAAAAAATGACTGGATTTCATTTTTAACGGTTTGCAGGTATTTAATTCTTTTTTTAACTTTTTACGTTAAGAAAGAGTACTAAATACAATGCAAAAAGATAGAAACAAAACATTCGGATATAATGAAAATGTCTTTAACCGAGAAAGTGTTAGAAAAAGAATTATGAAAGTCCATTTTAGATTTTTTATCTTGAAGATTTAAATACAATCCTTTACGTTTTTAGTGAAATAGCGATAAAATTAGCGATAAATTCCGTATCATTTATATTTATATTACCTTGAAAATTGTTAGAAAGAACCGTTTGAAATTGAAGAATTTTATTTATAGAAGTTTATATTCTAAATGATAACATAAATGAAAACAATAATATTTAAATAAATAATATTATAGGAGAAAAAAGTTCACAAAAGTTCCTGTTAAAAACTATTTAAATGTACCACAAAATCTAACATTACTTTTCATTTGTATCCCCTTTTCAAATATCGATGCGGAAATTATTTTTCTATTTAAGAGTTTATACAGTAAAAGCAATAAATAATATTGGAAGGCGAAAAAATACAAATGAAATATCGAACAAGCATATCAGATTCTTAGAAAAAAAATATTTTATTCATGAAGCGAAGCAAAATTTAGAATGTATATGTCAACGTCAAATGCCAGTATTCTATAAAATTATTCTTTAGAATTCCTGGTGCATTTTTTAGAATAGTTCTATAGAATAAAACTCTGAAATATTAGAATTAATGTATACTCTAACTTTTATATGGAGTGCCGAAGCAATGTATGGAATGAAAAATGCTTTTTGAGTGAAGTATGAATAATGAAAATGAATATATTCTAGTTATGATAGTTGCCTAGTTATGATAGTTGCCTAATTACAGACTGGTGCATAATTTCTATTAGTCATTCTATATAGTACAGGCAGGGTGTGGAATTGTAATCGTTACTTACTTTGTTTTGTATTTAGTGATTCTATAGAATAGAATACCTAGATCATGTGTACAACAATGATTTCTTAATTTGGCGATCAGTTGTAGAATGCCTGATTACTTTCGTCAAGGGCAAAATATACATTATTGAAAAAAAAATTCTTAGATTTAAAATAAATTCTAAGGTGTGTTTAAATTCGCTAGATTCTTTTAAAACTTTTCAACAACATTTAATATATTTCTTTATTTTATAATGAATCAGTTAAAAGTTTCACATTTTAAAGAATGCAAATGTTTTCACAAGTTGTAATTCCTTAAAAATATTTTTAAAAATTACAATTATAACTATAGTAGAATTTGTAATTAATCACGGCAGCTAAAACTAAGATTTTGACTATTATTATAAGTTTGAAATACCTATTAATTTTCATTAGTTTTCGTAACTATAATTGTTTTACATTTTTGCATTTCTCTTGTTTCAATTTTTTTATCTATGAAATTTACCTATGAAACTTCCCTGCTTAGGTTATTTAACAGATTTTATTCAAGCTATCAAGTTTTAAAAATTTATTTCTGAAAATACAGGGAACTTGGAACTTAAAATAGGAAATTCTGAAATTTTTTGCTTTTAATATATTTAAGAAAGTTCTCAAAAAGAAATTATAAAATATTGAGCATCGTGTCGAAATAATTGACTACCTTATTATTCATTTAAAGTAAATTAGATGGGTAAAATCGACAAAATTATAAAAAATAAATTTGTGAAAATGAAAAATGCAAGAATTTGCCATCATGTCTCAAGTATCTAATAAAGTTGCACAATAGGAGTATAAATTGACACAACATCGGTTTCCTTCTGATTTGCTTTGCTTCTGCTCTCAAGAAAACAGAAATGAGTATATTTAAGTATCTTCTTCAAAAGCGAATGCATTTCAATAAACTTTAACCACCACAACTGAAAGTTATGGGAAAATTTCAACAAAACAACACTTAGCAATATTTCATATCATTATAAGGAGCTGCAATCAGATGTTTAAGAAAACTAATGGAAAATCAAGATATGAATAGCAATATAACTAAAAAACTGATAAAAATATTGCATATGGAATCAAATCTAACTATTTTTTCCAGTTAAGACAAAGTTTATAGCACATTATTTATAATTCATCTAAACAAGAATGGCTGCTAGGAATGGCAAACATACATTTTGTTTTCTTTTTAGAAAAAAAAATTATTTTTTGAAAAATGAAGGATTCTTTTTAAGTTTTTCAGTTTCCTTTAATTAGTTTAAAAAAATTGTGCTTCTAATTTTTCAAGTTTTTACTAGTTTATTAGGGGAATAAAAACTAAGTCAAATTTAAACTTTTTTATTGTATCAACATTTATGAAAGGTATTTTGAAGCGTACAAAGATAATGATAGAACGTGTAATTTATTCATTGCAGTTTAAAATTATCCTAATAGGTTTTTAAGTTTGAAAAAAAAGTATTTATAATGTACAAGAATATAATATGTCAACTTCCCATTGCTTCAGCCTTTTGCTTACTGTTG